TGACAACTTTATCAACTCATTCAATATCATCATGTTTCATCCGTCCTCATAGCTGAATGCCATGTAGACATTCCTCCTAGAAGAAGCACTAGAACAGCATATCCCAATAGGATCTGGGACATGTCCAAGAGGCCAAGCCCAAGAATTCATGGTATAGAAGAAGAAAAAGAAAAATGAAATGGAATAGACAGACCTTTAAGTGAATTATAGCAGAAAACTCCCCAATGTACAGAAGGCAGTCATCCAAATTCAAGATGTGTATAGAACTCCAAACAGACAAAATAAGAGAAGAAATACTCCATGATATATTGTAATCAGGATGTCAAAATAGAAGTAATGAAGGAATCCGGAAAGCAGCATGAGAAATGCCTCCACTCACACACAAAGGCCCCAGGGCAGAATTATCCCAGACTTTTAGCCAGCAACCAAAATGTCAGAAGAGCATCAAATGAAATATTCCAAACTTTGAAAATAAGCAAGTGTGAGCCAAAAACAATACAGCCAGTAAATTTATCTTTCAAAACTAATGGAGAAATGAGGGCATTTCAAGACAAATACAAATTCAAGTGATTCCTGGCAACCAGGTGAGCAATGCAGAAAGTTCTTAGTTAATGATTTGCAAGGAGGAAGAGGAGAGGCAGTTTTCTTCAAGTGATTACATGCATGCTCACACTTAATCAAAATCACAGATGAACAAAAAAGGGTTTTTTCTTTCAAAAAGTTAATAAGATCGACAAACTCCTAGCTACTCTGATTGAAACAATGGGGGAGAAGATGAAAATTAGTAAGATCAGTGCTCAGAAGGTTGTCATTGCAACTGATTCCAGTGAAATACAGAACATCATTAGAACTGATTGCAAAAACTTATTCTCTGAAAAACTGGACAATCCATAAGAGGCAAATGAACTTCTAAATGAATATCAGTTGCCAAAATTAAGGGCCTGAGACATGAAAACATAAACAGATCCATCAAAGGCAATGAGATTGGAGCTGTTATTAAAAGTCTTCTTTCAAAGTAAAGGTTAGGACCAGATGGATTCACTGCTGAATTCATTAAACTTTCAAGGAAGACACCAGATCCATCCTTCTTAATTTGTTCCATAAAATAGAAAATGAAGGAAAACTGCAAAATCAATTTAATAAATCTAGTAATATCTTGCTATCATGTAAAAACACCACAAAAGGAAGAAAAAAATAAGAAAACTGGAGACCAATTTCTTGGATTAACATATGAAAAATCGTTTTTTAAACCTTTCTTTGTTTTTTATTTAGAGATTTTCTATTCATTTTACATATCAACCACAGACTCCCCTGTCCCCCTCTACCCAGCTCCCCAAGCCTTTAGCCTCAAACCACCCCCATTCCCATATCTTAAGATAATACTTGCAAACTGAATTAGGGAATACATGAAGAAGATTGTATATGATGACCAAGTGGATTTCATCTTAGGAAGGCAAGGTTGGTTCAAAATACATAAGTCAAAAATATAATACAGTATATAAATCAACTGAAGGACAGAAATCACATAGTTACTTCAGTTGATGCTGGAAAGGCACTTGACAAGTTCAGTATGCTTCAATGATAAAAGTTCTGGAAACTTTAGGAATATATGGAACATACCTCAAAACAATAAGGGCTAAATATAATAATTACATGGAGAAAAACTGAGAGCAATACTTCTAAAATCAAGTATGATACAAGAATGCACAACCTGTTCTCTCTTATATAGTGCTTGACGTTTTACCTATAGCAATTAGGACAAGAGAAACACATAAAACAGGTAATAACATCAGTAAAGGAAGAAGTCAAGTTGTCCCTATTTGCATATGACATGATTCTTTACTTAACAGATTGTGGATACCCACAGAGGCTTCCTATTAAGACCTTACTCAAGGTCAGAGAATCTGAGCTTGCTTTACCTAGTAGGGCTGCATAATGAAATGATTTGGCCACGGGCATGGTTACCAGGTGTGCTGAAGGGTCTGCACTTGGCTGTACGCTGTGGTTTGATCTCGAAAGGGGAAGTCTTTTGCCTTGCCTCTTGGTATTGTATAAAAAGCCCCTTGGAATAAATCTTGAAGTGAGTGGGTATTGACCCCGGTCTTTAAGGAAACTATCCTGTGTCTCTGTCTTTCTTATTGTCTCTTATCTTTCTATCTAATACTTCCTCATTCTCCTCTCCTTCTCCCAAGAACCTTTTGACAGGTCAGAGCTGGACTCTGACAGACCCTGACAAAAGATCTTAAAAGACTCTACCAGGAAACTATTTGACCTACTAAATACTTACAGTGATGTTGCAGAACAGAAATCATTATAAAAAGTCAGTAGCTTTTATTTATATATTCAGTGTACTCTCAGTGAAAGAAACTAGGAAATATATCCCATTCAATATAATTCCCCCCAACAAGATTTAGGAACATATCTAACCAAAGATGTGAAAGACCTCTACAATGAAAATTAAAGGTATGAAGGAAATAAAAGAAGCTAGATGAATGGAAGACATTTCATGTTCCTGAGTTAACAGAATTAATATTGTAGAAATGGCCATAGTACTAAAATTCATTTACAGGATAAATATAATACCTGTCAAAATTCTAGTGTTATATTTCACATGTTTAGAAAAAAAACTATACAAGAATTCATATGGCTCCACAGAGGTTGTGAATACTGAAAGAAATCCTAAGAGTAAGAATAATGCTGGGGGTATTCCAATACTCAGTCTCATATTAAAATATGGAGCTATAGTGAAAAAGACTGCCTGCGACTCACATAAAATCAGACAGAGAAGACCAGTGGTAAAGAATAGAGGACATGGAAATAAAATGACAAAATTGTTCTAAAAAACAAAGTGAGTTTTGACAAGGGAGGAAACAATTAACACTGGAAAAAGGATAACCTATTCAACCAAAGGTGCTGGCCAACTATCAGCAGAAGAATAAAACTTGATTCTTTCACTTAGTGCAAATATCACTTCAAAATTGAATAAACACCTCTAACTTTAAACCTAAAATCTGAAATGTCTAGAACACACATAAGGGAGACCATTTAAGCTACTGAGGCAAGCCAACTTTCCAAACACCAATAGAACACCAATGGCACAGAATCGAATCCTGTTACCAACAGATGAGACATGCAGGGGTGCTTGAGTGCATGTGTGCATGTGTGCGTATGCACACACACCCACACACATGAACACAAAGATGGGACAGTAGATGTGGCAGAAACTGAGAATAAGGAATTCAGTAGGAATGGCATGTAGGTAAGAGTGATAGAGGGTGAACACAACCACAGTGCAGTCGATATCTGCATGAAATTGCTAAAACAAAATAAATTTCATAAAACCCTAATTATAAACGGAAGGGACAGAAGTCTTATTTCTCATAACACTTATGTTTTAGGTGGCTCCAAATATTCCCATGATGTCTTTATTAGTGAAAACAGCTGGTTCACAGCTGGACTTAATCTATCTTGCAAAAAGCAAACTTCTGAGAAAATTTGGTCACTCTTGTAATCACTACTATTGATTGCTGTTGATAACTGCCCAGTGTTTACACCAAGTCATGTACCTGATCACGGTGGGGAGTAGCTCATTTGAGAGTAGACTATTACTGCTAGCAATCACAGCAGAATTTGCTCCCATCAGTGTTATCAAAACTGCATGCAGAGTCCGCATTTCTGTGGAGAGGAAAATCAGGGACAGTGGTCATTCTGAGGTGAAGGAATTCACTTTCCACTTGTAAGTGGGGAATACAGAGTGGAGAAACTGCAAGAGTAAAAGTCCTCAGTGGGTAATAAGTTAAGGAAGGTGACCTATCTGCAAGTACTGGTTTATGGAGAGTCAACACTGTGGTTCACTGTATTCCTACACCTGGTATCTCTGACACATTTCAGAAGTAGAGAGCTTGATGAATCAAGGAGATACTCATCGATTTCCCTGTTTTCTACCCAGCATCTCACTGTCCTTCCTACAGAATGTACGGCAGTCATGGGGAAATTACAGAGGACTGTGTTCTCATTTGAATATTTAGCAGGAATGTGCCATGGATAAGAATGAGGGAAGGTGGGGCTGAGGAGATGGCTCAGTGGTTAAGAGCACTGGCTGCTCTTCCCGAGGTCCTGAGTTCAATTCCTAGCAACCACATGGTGGCTCACAGCCATCTAATAATTTGATCTAGTGCCCTCTTCTGGCATGTAGGCAGAATACTGTATACATGGTAAATAACTAACTAACTAACTAAATAAATAAATAAACCTTAAAAAAAAAAAAAGAATGAGGGAAGGTGAACCTGACCATAGTACATTCTATCTACACCTGCATGAATGTCAGAAACAAAAGTAAATGTTATAAAAAAAAACATAATAACAATTAGAAGAATAGATGTTGCATATCTCGTGGCACTTGCATTTTGGGTGACTCCAAATATTCACGAGATATTTATTCATTTTCTATTTCAATATGGTAGAAGAGTGTCATGGAAGGAGAGACGTGAGCAAGTTGGGAATCAGTTTGAATTGAAATGGTGTTTCAAGATTCAAGAATAAGGGCGTTGCTGCTGACATTGAAGAGTTGTGCAGGTTTTAAAACATACCACAGTCCCGAGCTTCAGCAAAACCTGAGGACTGCCTGGGAACTGTGCTCCTTGCCCACATCCACATAACACCACCAGCTTCAACCTGGCAGTCCTGCTGCCTAGACCACTCTGGGACAGAGGATGTAACAGTACATTTAGATAATTTTGGATCAGAATAGTAAGAGCTGAAACCTACATGACTGCTATGAAAACGTCATTGAGAATGAATGAGGGAGGGGTAGATGCTTGAGAGGGATTGGAGAGAGGATAATGAAGCAGAAATGATGTCATTACATTTTAATTAAAAATGTAATTACATTTTAATTAAAAATGTAATTACATTTTAATTAAATTCAATTACATTTTAACTAAAAATGTAATTGAACAATGAGTAAATGATCTATTATTGACCTGTAGAAACTTGGGAATAAATGGCTTCAATGTTCCAGATACTTCTTGAATGTACTAGACTTTTACATATTTAAACCAAACTTACTGACTTTGGCTTTTCTCTCAGTGTCTGAATGGAGGAAAGTTTCCTAAATGTCTGCTTTCAAAAAATCTCCTGATTTTTTTTTTCTGGTAAGTAGGAGCTGAAAAACACTGATGAAAGGGACTGGATATTTTTCCCTCTTATCATACACTCTTTATTCACCTTCAGGAACAAACACTGTAGCCAGGATGGTGATTCCAAACAGGAAACAGAGGAATAGTTGACTTATTCTACGGCCAATGTGGTTCAGTAGAAACATTCCAGCAACACAGGCTGGGATGGACATTGCAGCAGAGAGACATTGCATTAGGAAGACATTACTTTTCAGGTGTTGGAGATGGATGTTGAAGCCAAATACAGGGATTGCTGTTGTAAATCTGTAAGAAACAAAGAGGAGGGTCACATCATACTACTTAGAGTTGACATCCAAAGCCAAGAATATGATTATCCCAAGAAGATGGTGTTAGTTGTTCACATATGATGGCCTATCTTTATTTTGACCTATTTGTATTTACTTGAGTGATAATGTAATAATCATCATAAAATCATTGTGTCCTGACAGGACATATTATTCTTTGATTTTTAAGGAGAGGCAGAGTATTTGTGGAATGCATGTTAGATCCAATCAGGCTTTTAGAGTTTTTTTTCTCCAACATGATCTTAGTGAATGGTATAACTTTTTTTTTAATTTTAAAAACATTTTCTTAATTTTTTTGAGAAGTACATGCAATGTATTTTAATGATATTCTTCCCTAATTCTTCCTTACAATTTCTTCCTAGTCCACTTACACATCCTGACCACTCCCAGCTTCAATTCTTCTTTTCATT